AGGATTTAAGTTAAATCATCACAGTGTGGAAAATAGTCTAAATGCTGTTTTAAGCTGGCAACAGTATCCAAGGAGGGGATGTGTATAGGCCATTTAAAACTGTGTATGTGTATATGTGTGTGTGTGTGTGTGTGTGTGTGTATGTGTGCTTTGATGCAATCTGGCTCTGGTCTGACTGTGCATAGATTTGAGTAATGTCTTTTGCTTCCTGCGTGCTGACAGCCCTTTATTGTATACGGGGGCTGAGTGTGATGGTAATCTGTTGATGAGGCGCTGCAGATGAGGCTGATGCGAGGGCTTTTGAGGGGACAGTAGAACATCCTGCTGAGCCACATCCAAATTAAGATCACTTCCTTCACCACTGCTTCCTGACCACTCTGTTTTCATGACACCCTTGACCTCAACCTTCCTCTCAGCATTTGACTAAATAAAGGCACATCATTTTGTGATATAAAAGTTGGGAACTACACACTGAAATGTGTTTCGGTTTCAGCATGTCCGCCGACTCTGAAAGGGCAGCATATGTAGGTGCGGTGACACAGGGACCATACATATACATCTCTTTCCTTGAAACCATTTGATTTGATTAAAACTCTTTAGGAAACAATTCAGTGCTCTCAAATTGCCAAATGGCCTAATATGATTGAATTCAATTATTTTAGTCTGATTCACAATATTAATATTTCAAACAATAAGCAGAATACACAAATATAACTGGAGAAACTATTTACTCATTAGTAAAAAGGACAATAAAAACAATTATACAAGCTGTTGCAGACTTTTTTAGCTACACTTGATGTGTGCACCATGCATTTTACTGATGTGGCTATGCTAACGACTGTGTGTTACCACTGTAATGGGGGATTTATGGAAAAGTCATTCTCGAAGATATGCATGAGTAGGCCTATATTTTCAACAACTCTCCCAGGGTGAGAAACACTTTTTTATAGCAGTATCAGCTTTTGAGATGCATACTTGACGATACCTTTACTGCAGTTATATTCTTTTTACTCTAAGTTTGAATATACTTGAATCTTAGACAAACAAAGGGAAAGTTTGAATTTTATTAACGATTACACCCCTAATGCTGAGTGTTTCCATGTACCTATTAACACATTTATTTTGCACTGGTTGATACTAATCAGTGGATGTCTTATATTACTATGAGGATATTTATGTTAATTTTCAAAGCAGGTTGGACTTTTTACTTTTGAGTAGGTGTTACAGGTTATTTGACTTGTCTCAGGGTTGATATTCTGAAAGATGTTTTCACCCTGTCGGAGAGAATTTCATGACTTGAGTCTGAAGGGAATAGAAGAATGAAACATGGAAGGGAACAAAACGATGATAGTGATGAATGCAGGGAGAAACAGTTTAGATCTTGATGTAATTTAGCATTAAATGGTGACATTTATGGGTGACATATTTCTTGAATTGTGAGATAGGTTGGAACAACTGAAAAGTTGTACTCTTTAGCAGAACTAGCTCAAATCCAAGCACATAATTTATCTGACCTAATGCACTGAGCGGTAAATTACATTTACATTATGTTATCAGATTATACAATTTAGATAGTTATGGCCTGTTTGCATTTTTTCCCTCAGGAATTTGACAGATACTGTACAATGCTGTCAGTCTCAGTATTTTCCTCCACATGCCAGTGAGTGCAGTGTCTGCTGACGGTGTCAGGCTATACCTACCACAGCCAAGCTAGTGTTCATGCACACAAAGTCACGTGACAGTCTGTGAGATGGCAGTCAGAGACTGGATTCAAACTCTCACCACAGTGTGGTAACCAAACCACAAACCGGCTCTCAAACCACATGAGTCATTGTAGGGTTACTGGTTGGACAGTTGTTTACAGTCGTAGTCATGTGTATGTACATAGCTACTGAAATCAGTCTGACATTTTATAGTGAACACCATCTGTTGGTAGACCTACTCGATAGGCTTGAGCCAGTTATGACATTAAAAATACACAAATTAAATGGCATTTTTATCATAACTTGTGTTCTCTTTTATTTTGTAGTCAGTGTCCTATACTGGCTGCAATATATGGTCTGTCTTCGGAAGTTAAAGGTACATCAAAGTTGTTAAAGAAGAATTTCAGCTAATTTTCAAAATCTATGCATCATTCAGTAGTTGAGATGTAAATAAAGCAATTCAGACTGGGTTGTTGTGAAATGGTTCGTTGTAGATGAACTGCTTTACAGTGGTGGTGGTGGTAAGAAGCAGGGGTCGTGATGTCTACTTAATAAAGCTGAATATAAACTTAATATAGACTCTTTCTGTACTATGCAAAATGACCAACAGACCAGCACGTCTTACATGAAGTCAGAACTTTGTGATTTTAGCTTTTTGAGGCATTGAACGCTTCAGATATCTGATTTGCATCACCACCACTGTGAACAATTCAGATTTTGTAAGTTTCTTTAGAATGGCACATTTCACACCAAACCTCTCTAATTGAAATTCCTTTCAAATACAAAGCCAGAGTTTAATATAAACCAGACTGATTAAATGATAAAATACAATATGATAGGCTACAACAACAGTAGCCTATCATATAGGCTAACGTAGCACAGCAAGATTTAGTCTATATTATTTTTTCAGAAGAAACAAATTAGAAACTATTAAAGTGTGATTTATTAAACCTAGCAAGGATTACTCAACCATAACCAGAATGAAGTTACCCTAAGTTTCTGGCCAGAACCAGAAGCATGTCTGTTTATTCAGTTTAAGCAGGCTTGTGCTGTTACCACATCAAGGGCATCTCACAAGACTACTACCTGAGCAATACTTCACTCAGCCAGCTGCGATCGATCAAGACATGTTGTGCAAAGATTCTCCATCAGATCAGTTACGCAGCCATCAGACTGTGCCACCGGTCAGCTGGGTAGATGATTCACCTCAGTTGACTCGTTAGCAATAAAAGTACCGTGCACTCCCTCAACTACCCGCACCTGTCCTTTGTGTAAATAAGTCTGTGTTTCTGTACGCAATGCAGCGCCTCGCCCTAAAACTCCCGCTGCTGTCCGTACTGAGGGTGGAACTGGCTCCGACATGTGGGAACATTCAAAGAATGCACAGTGGTTTTGACTTGAAGCGCCTAGCAGCTCACTGAGCTAAGACAAGTGACTAAGCAGCTCTGAAACAGCCCTTGTCTGAACCAGCACCCTGGAGCTGCACAGAGCTCTGCAAGGTCATGACAGAGTTTGTCTTCAAAAGCTGGGGTTGTCTTGCTAAACATGTTGATAGATAGAAATTAAGAATACAGGAAATGTGAGGTGGTGTATCAGTCAACAAACAGACATGTGGGAGTTAGTTTAGCTGTAATGTGTGTGGTGCCACATTTTGGGTACTGGAGAGAATCTGTGTATTGGTCATATATTGTACTAATGAAGTAAATTAGATTGAAGTATGGGTTCATTTGGCTAGTTATTGTGCTGGCTAGTGTTTTATAAAGGGGAAACCTACCTATTACCACGGAGTCATTCAGAGTGTTTTGATGTAAATGCTCAGTTCTAGAGAAACTAGAGTCAGAATTATTCATAGTGATGGTGATAAGAATCAGACCTCTCAAGAGTTTGTTGCTTTTAAAAGGTCCCTTACAGATAATTATTACATGCAGTCATTACAAAGACACTGCCTGATACCGGAGATGTTTTTTTAGATAGTTTTGAGAAAAGGTTCAGGTCTAAAATGTATTTTTTTAAAAGGTACACTGGGTTGGTGATGAATGGTTCGTTGTAGACTTTATGTAGTAACTTTCTGTGATTTCGCTTTTTGGAGCATTGAATGCGTCAGATATCTGATTTGCATCACCACCACTGTGAACAATTCAGATTTTGTAAGTTTCTTTAGAATTGCACATTTCACACCAAACCACTTTAACTGAAATTCCCTTCAAATACAAAACCAGAGTTTAATATAGACCAGGCTTATATCCTATTAAAATACAATATAATAGGCTCAACAACAGTGGCCTATAGGCAAACTTAGCACAGCAAGTTTTAGCCTATATTATTTTTTTTAAGAAGAAATAAATTATAAATTATTGATGTCTGATTTATTAAACCTATGTTGGCTTTTTTCTTTTTTTGATTCACCACTTTTTTGTTTACAACCATCAACATTACATATAAAAACTCTGAAGACATGTGAACGTTCACTGGTCATTTTGGATAGTAAATAAAATGGCTATGTTTGAGTTGTAGATATTGTGACCCCTGGTTCCTGTCGCCACCACTGTAAAGAAATTTGAGTCGTTACATGTCTCTGAATGTAGCCATTTTACATCTGACTTTGTTTACGTTTGAATGACTGAATATGCAGATTGTTATCACTAGAGTTCCCCCCTAAGATTATTAATTTATTTATTAATGGATATGACGCTAAGAAGTTAATATTTCTAGTTTTTCCACTTCTAAGTATAATCTTTAAGCAGAATTGTTTCTCTCAAACAATTGTGCTTGAAGATCATATTTAAGCAGTGAAGATGCATGTGAAAAATGTTACACTGTTACACAAAATAAAAGCTCAGCTTTTTACGGTGTTTGGTTAGAAACGGAGGAGGTCTGTGTCATCATAATTATTATGCAACCAAGCAGTCATCTGACCTGTATACCAGTGATTCGGAGCTGTATAATGACTCACCATGTAGGGTAATTCCCAAAAGAAAGGGCAAAGTCGAGCATACAAAGAGTTTTACATCAGTTTACAAATAGAGAAATGATATTCTTATCTCAACCTATGTTAATTTTCTATCATTTGAGATCTTCACAGTTTGCTTAGCTTTTTGCTCTCAATATTTCATAATTTATGTCATCCCTAGTATTAATTAGTAGAAAACCTGCAGGTGATGAACATCACTGCTGGTATATTCAGTTTAGCCTTCTTAGCCTTTATGGGGTTTTAAAAGCTTGCTCTGATGTTCATTAGAGCATTTTTATGTAGTCTTTGTGGAATTTAGTTAATTATGTGCTCTTCCTGTTTTCTAGGTCTTACCACAGAGGGCCTGTATCGTGTGAGCGGGAACAAGACTGATCAAGACAACATTCAGAAACAGTTTGACCAAGGTAATAAAAACAGTGAATGTGCCGGCAGAAATCAGTCAACTGTACAAATGGAATGAAATGAAAGCACAATTACTGACAAAAACATTGGCCCTTATTCATCAAAGTTGGTTATGGTCAAATCAGTTTGTAAAAGTGAGCACACACAGATTTCACCAAGAGTTATTTTGTTTATCAATTTCATCTTTTGTATATGTAAACTGGAGCATGATAGTTGAAGCTGAAAAAAAATGCTTGATTTGGAGTTAATTAACCAAAACTATTATCAAGATGATCTATAATACCAATAATAGGAACGAAAAAAAAATACATCAATAATACTAATCATTTGTGCAAACGGCATTTCAGTCCAAAAGTGGATGTACTTATTTTACATGCACATTGTTATAATTACACCACACTCACATCATTCTGCAGTGTTAAAACTAAGACGCCTTGTTTATTTAACATTTTATTCTTTCTAGTCACTGTAATTTTAACGCTATAAAGTTTGGTCAGTAGGGGGAGCAGTGCACTCACTGCCTGACCCCAAACTCTATCTACAAGCCCAAACATTGGCTCACAAGCCGCTAGCTGCTGTTGTTTTATTGGCTCCCTACTAAAACGTCAGCATAAATTAGGGCATGCTTCATGGAAATCGTATGCAAATGAGGTTATGATAGGCTGGCACTTGACTTCACACACTGAAGCCAATTCATCACTCGTGGCAAAATCTCTACTTGTTTCCACATCATACGAAAGTTCCATGAATCAGATACAGAGTAGTTTGTACATCATTAAAGGCAGTCAAATCTGCGTTCTTTTTTTGCGCAACTTTGATGAATAAAGGCCAATGTGGGCAAACTGTTTAATTATTCAATTGTTCTTTCAATTGGCCACTCAGATTTCATACTTTCCACCCTGTTCAATTTATGTGGAAAGATCCCTTCCTCCCTCTCTGCTCTACAGGCTAATGTATTCACCAGAGATAAGCTTTTTACTTATGTAATAGCCTCCTGGTAAAGAGCAGCTATTACAGACCTCAATGAAGATATCAGTACTTGGAATAAGTATGTTAATGTCTGACAGATTAATATCGTGATCTACATTCTATAAATGTGAATTACACAATTTCAGTATTGTGAAGTGCTCTCCATCCCAGAGAGACAGCTACACAGATTAGTAGAAACCGTTTTATCTTGTTTGAATAAAAGCACTTGAAATCCTTGACAAACAGCTTCTCATCAAGTTGTAACAAATAGCGGTTGTTAGGGAATGCTGTGTATCCTCAGCTGTCACGTCTTCTTAACAGTAGTTTATAGTGTTGAGTAATTGAGTCGTTGATTTTATTCTAGTTTTCTCAAATACGTTCCTCATGCCTTTGCAAAAAGTGAATTTAAGCTCTACATTTGTGGGCGAAATGAGCAGCTTTTGCTCTTTGTTTTCGTCCATCTTTCACATCAAATCCCAGTCACAGGGGCCTGGTGAGCCGTGCAGATGACTTGGTGGAAAATCTTCCGCAGAGTGACCAGATTATTCACTCAGTGAGCTAGAGTTTGCCCAAAAGAGCCACTATGGGCATCAATCTGCCCACTGGCCTAGAGCCATTAGCCTGCCTCGCTCCGTCCTCGCTATTTTCTGAATTAAGTGCATTTTTTTTTGCTTTTATCCTGTGTCCATCTCTTAGTGAGATCTATTCTGACAGCTGTCAGTTCACCTTAAGCCCTGCTCTTTCTCTTTTCTGTGCTCTTTCTTTCCTCTTTCTCTGTTCTTTCTATCTTTTCACCCTTTCTGTTTTACTTCTCTTTCTCTCACTGTGCCTCCCCCTCCCCAGCAATTCCTTTTCGTTGTCTTCATTGCCCAGTCTCCTTTTCTTCACTCTTACTTATTCCAGTTGACACTGTTTTTATTGGCACTGCTAACACTGACAACACTGCAAAAACCCCATCGATTAAGATGCTGTCATTACTGTTGGAATGTTTTGTTTTTTTTTTTCAATCTCCTCTTTTTTTACTGTTTGTCCATTTAGACCACAGTGTGGATTTCATGGCGATGGATGTTGCTGTAAACGCTGTGGCGGGGGCACTGAAGGCTTTCTTTGCTGATCTACCTGACCCCCTCATCCCCTACAGTCTCCATCCAGAACTAGTGGAAGCAGCTAGTAAGTACATTGTTTATTGTTTCTTGCCCTCTATCCCTCTGTTGGAGGTGTGGAGTTGCTCATTTTTACTAGCTCCCAAAAAAATAAATGTGGCCCATTAACGTGTAAGATTTTTTTTTAAGAAACCATGTCACAACAAAAACATGATGAAAAATTTCACGTCTTTATTACATAAGCTTCAACACAGCCTGTGAGAAGCACTCCTGGTTCAGCAGAGTCACACTGAACATTGAACCTCTGCTATACAACACATAAAGTAACAGTTTGCCACAAAGGTACCTACACAGCTGATATAAATTAAGTTTTGGCCCCCTTTGTGTGAAGTAGTTCTTTATCGCCTACTCCTTGTCCCATAATAATTAATGGCTATCATCGATGCCATATGTGTGGACCTTTCTATTCTAATTACATTATATTCTGTTCTAATTAAAGCCATTGAGTGCTGCAGTTAAGCTAATCAGATCAAGTCTGATTGGAACTCGCAGTATGAGGCAGAATAATACTGTGATTTTGTACAGTGTGTAATGTAGAGTATAAGCCGTGCTGTAGTGTTGCTTGTATTCTCATCACTCATCATATCTTTCTGTCGTTCTGTGGTCGTTCTCCTGCTACTACTGTTCTATAATAGTAGTATTTAGCAAGCATTGTGTAATGAGTAGTGAACAACTAGCAAACCACTGCAAACACAGCTAGTGTTTGAGATGACCTAGTTTGATTTCATGTCGCTGGCTGTGATCAGCAGCCAGCCAGTAATATGAGATAAAATTGCCATTTATTGTCTCTTTAAAAATAATAAGCATAATAGAATTTTCTCTCAAGATCATCAAGAAAAAAATATTGAGTGAAGTTTGTATCAGGGCTGAACAATACTGGGGAAAAGTCACATTGTGATATACATCAGTGTGACAAATATTGCCAATATAGTCAAAATTATTCACATTTATTACACGTTGCATTATTTACATCATCACATGAAAACCTTGATTCATCAGAACACCCATAGAAACTTATCAGGATCGTCAAGGTTGGTCAAGATGCTCACAGCATATAATAAAAAAAACAAAAAAAAAAAACAAATTATGAGAACTCAGGTGCATATTAGCAGCCCTCTGCGATATAAGTATTGCCAAGGCCAGCGTCATAATGATGAACAAATGATCATTATTTTATTGCACAGCCCTAGTTTGCTGTTCTTCTGTTTTAGAAGTATCTTTTGGGGATGCACAATAATATTGGAATCATATCAGTATCAGGATTTGCTTCAAAAAATATCAGCATCGGACAGATGTTTACATTTAACCAATATTTCGATTCAGTTGATATTTGATGATCTATTTATTGTACTCTAGAGGAGCAGAATGTTTAGGTGACACTGGGATACTGCACTAAAATGTGTATTTTGTTCCTTTTTTACTCCAATGGTAACCCTGTACAAATAAATATTGCATTTCTGTGTAGTGGTAATCAAGGTAGATGTAGTCCCAGTTTCTACATTTTATAAATGTTTATGTTTCAGCACTGGCAAATAAACATGAAAAAATTGGATATTGGCGTCAGCCCACAATTCCCATATCGGTGCATCTTAAATGTTTTTAGTAAATGTGACTGATCTTCCCATTGAGACTGATTACATGTAGTGAATATGACTATAATATAAATCTATTGCATGCTGTTGCATGACTGTTGCATGCTGCTTGCATTACATCATGGTAACACACATCTGCAACAGCGAGAACAACCAGTGAAGACCAGTCCCTGTATCCTCAGCCCTTAACTCGCCTACAGCTAGAGCTTCCTCTTCATTTTGCATATTCCAGTTTTTATATAACCACATTTATAAAACATCAGTCTCCAACTCAACTGGAAATTAATCCCATCACCACTTGGTCTAATCCCAGCCCCAAGGAGGCTGGAGATGGTGATTTAAATGCATCTGTATGTTCACTTCAGTTTTTTTTCCCGAGCTGAGTGCTGCATCTAATCCGGAGCCTGGTGTGATGTGTTCCCGATCGCTCCTCAGCCGCTCAGCAGTAGGTTGATGTCGCTTCTGCCTCCCAGGCCGCTGCTGCGATTGCTCTCAGCGATCGTTCAGAATGTACACATATGTGTGCGTATTTTTTTTCCTCCTTCTCCGCCTCCACTTCCCGCCACTTGCAGATTATTGTTTGAGACGCTGCCAGATTTCCAGCCTCTCTCCTTGCTCAGGCAGCCGTTGTGCAATGCGCTCTGAGCAAACGTTTTTACCTGATGACGTCAGCGGCAGCCTCTTGGATGTGTTGTGACTAGTTTCACACCCGCCCCGTCGACACCATTTGCAGGAGGCGAGGGGATTTAGCAAGAGGCCAGCTAGCATGTGTCCTTTGGAACACGCTATTAAAACACCTACTATTAAACACCAGGGCAGAATCAGGACTGATATTTTAGGTCACATTTTGTTCAGTTCTTTACGAATGCTGTCTAAAAGCCTCCTCAGTTATCCTAAAGTGGCGGTTCAGTGAAAAGTCATATTTACACTGTTTTCCTTTTATCCCAAATGTAGTCAGTATGCCAAGACCTATCTAGTTTTGCACTAGTTACAAGGCAATAGCTAATGTAGTTAACAAGTAAAGTTCATAAACACCAGTTAGCAAATCATCCCATGCTTTCCTCAGTCCACGAGTTGTTAAGTGATCTAAAATAGACTTTATGTGGTTGCAGACACTGCATCACATACTCTTAAGCAATAGAACACAAGAGGGAGAGTGTTATTGCGAACATGAAAATGTAATGTTATTTGTGATAACAGATGAGCTCTCTAGGGTTCTATAGCTTTTATCCAACAGTTCTGCAAAAAAAGAATGAACTAAAGAACGAAGTCCCAAACATTCCATCAAATGTGCTTTAATATTGGCACCAAAAAATGTTGTAGCCTTTTGTGTTACGGATGAAACCACAAACTGCAATATCAGGTTCAGCTCAGCTTCTTTAATACTTGCCAAATTAACCTGAATGTGGTTTTGTTCCAGTGAGTCTGTAAAGCATTTCACAGTCCATCATGTGTGCTGGATTATATGCTATTTGTTTCTTGCTAATTCTGGCTTGTTTTGCTGTTTCAACATTGCAGCTGTCGACCAAAAAATTTGCTTAGGGGCTGCGACAGGTTCTGAATTTGATGTAGCCCTGCTGTCACACTCTTCTTTAAAATCTGAAACAGGCTTCTGGTCAACTATTATCTTAAAAGAAGTTACCTAACGTCACCATTTTCATATTTATGTCTGTTTTCTGCTAAAGTAGGAATGTAGTAAGAGCCTCATGTGAGTCTTAGCAACTGGTGCTCAGCACAATGATACAGTAAATGCAGAAAAAAATGCTTCTCAGTCAGTCAGACTGTGTTGTCAGAACTAACTACTGTTTCATTATCTGTAATGGACAAAAGTACAGACTTTGAAGACCAGTGAGTAACCACATTTAGGGTAATAGAAAAAATATGCTTAACTGTGACTTCAAGATCACTGATGTCTCCTTTTTAATAGTGTTTGTGAAATAATTAAATATACAAACTGTATTTTAAGGCCTTGACCCTTTGTTTCTTATCTGTCACATTTGTTTATATAACGTGCTTCCTTCCTTGCAGAAATAGTGGACCACATCGAAAGACTGCAGGTGCTGAAGGAAATCGTGAGGAAATTTCCTCCTGTGAACTATGAAGTTTTCAAATATGTCATCACCCACCTCAACAGGTAAAACCCTTCCCTTGAGATTGGTTATTGCTCACAATATCCCTCTTATGGAAAAAGAACATTCACACAGACACACATAGTAGCATAAACAGCATTGTTTTTGCTTCTGGAATATCCATAAAATGCATGTCTGGGCTGTGTAGTGCAAGTGTTTATAGTGTTTATGGTAGTTGTAGTCCATCAGGTAATTTGAATCCCAGAGATTAAATCCTGATGTCTGTGAACAAAGGGTCTTGCACAGAATAAAAATCTTGAAGTTGTTCAGTTTGGGGCTGTGATGTATGTAAAGACAGCAGTGATTTGTGATATACCTCCAGGTGACATACCTCCATTGAGTCATACCTCCAGGTAATTAACTATTTTGCTTCCCGTTTTGAAGCGAATTTATGACTCCAGCCATATATGCATTACTGCCGATGTGGGTTTCCTCATGCTCAACAATGCACAAAATTGCTACTTGATTGTTAATGTGGGAAATCTGAATTATTGTGAATAAAATTCATTGCCTGTACATTTGACAAAATGAACATTAGAAGACAAAGCTTCTACATGCTGCTTCTGTATTTTCAGCTGAAAAGAAAGTTAAAATAAAATGTTTCACTTATTAACATTAATAGATATTATTTACTTTTAGCTTAAAAATCTAATTAGTTCTACAACACTTGCAACTTTTATAGCGCCAATGCTGCCTGCTTTAAAATGTTGAGTACGGCCCTATATGTTTATGGGCAGCTTGTATGGGCAGTATTTCTGTGCAACTGTTTTAGTAACTATAATTTTAGCCGTATATTTACTATCATTCAGATGCTTCACACATATAATGCAATAGCTATCTGCTGAAAAAGTTCACAGTAACACTTTGTTGATTCCTCAAATCAACTGCAAAGGCAATACTAACTATCCAAAGTGCTTAACAAAGTGCTCAGCATTTAATTTTTTATGCTTTTTTCTCATGGTCCCAGCTTTTACCGTGCATAAATAATAAATCCAGTGTTTTGGGTAGGTAACTGCTGAGATGAATAACAATAAGAGGAAGGAGACATAATCAGTAAAGACTTTTCAAAAGAACTCCAAAGCGTACGTTAGGCACACTGCTTAATGTCTTTTAAATACTTTTTGAAGTGCATGGAAATATCAGTCTTTTACCTTGTGAACATCATTTTGATTAGGGTTTTTATGCTGCTGCCTTTCATCCAACATAAATACTTAGGTAAATGACTTCCACTTTTATCCCTCCTATTTTAGTAGTTGGTAAAAAGCTACTGACAGCTTTGATAATTCGCTGTATTTGTTCATGAGGATGAACTTTCATCAGCTTATGATCCCCCTTTTTCTTTTGTCCCAGTTCCAACACATCCTGAATAAGTACTGCGTTAATATTTTTCTGATTTCTGTAACACAGTCAGTATAATTTTATGTGTCTTGTCACTTAATAAGAAAAGATATTTCTGAACTACCACTGCTCAGACATGATGGCAGAAATCCCAACAAATAAACAAATACATAGGTTTGTTTTGAACATCCCTCTTCCTGGGGTACCTCTGCTCTGTACATTTTCATTAACAAACTCTTCCTGAGTCAAAGCTGCACTATGTAAGTTTTGGGGATTTGAAGACCTCTGTGGTGGAAATGAGTAATTGTATGCAACGTGCGGAAGAAAATTGTCACGTCGGTTTTGCTTCAGACCCCAACAAGCAGATGCAGTTTGTGAGTGTGTTTAAAGAGGGTTTTTCCTTTAACTCAGAAATGCTAATTTTTTTTTTATTTTAACTAAAAATCGCACATACTGTTGCTATAAAATAGGTGTGTTAAAACAGAAAAAAGTTGGATAAAGATACACAGGACTGGACCATAAACAACTAATCTAAATTAATAACCTGTTAGATTCCTACACACTATTTTACATCAGCCACAACCTTAAACCTGTATGGTGAGAAAAGCACTCATGTCTTTATTAACCAATTCATCTTATTCATTTTACATAACACATCTTTTGAATTTCTGAGGTGGTGTGGTTAATTATTATTTGTTGAATAATTTCTTATAGTTGCCAAAATATTTGAAATATTGAACACAACATCTAAAAGCACCTTTCATCATCTTGTGTAGAGTACGTAATCGACATTAATATATGTTACATACAATAATAACTTATACACTCACATGAAAAGTGATAATAGACTTTTGACCAGTAGTGTACTTCATTAATTGACTGGTCTAATGGCATGTTGCTTATATTTGGCATCATAAATTAAATAACTACTGTAACTAGACTAGGCTAACTAGGCTAAAACATGTTGAGCCTTAAGGTTCTCAAGGAGACCACACTTAAAACTGCATGTTACCTTGTCTTAGAAAATCCAGTTAAGATCAATTTAAAAATATTAACTGAATATTTGTTAATTTTTATAAAAATATAATTGAATAAAGTGCAACTTAATAGATTCTGTGGGGAGAGCTTGGTGCCCTCGTGTGCGTACTTCCAGACCACTGTGTTGGAGCTTTATTCAGTGAATATTTTTACAGTGTTACATAAAAAGTGCATACAGCTATGATTTGCTTATGTAAGTCTAAACGTGACCCTATTCTCTCTCTCTCCTGCACCCCACCCCCCTGGCCTTTTCCAGGGTGAGCCAGCATAGCAAGACCACGCTGATGACAGCGGACAATCTCTCCATCTGCTTCTGGCCCACGCTTATGCGTCCAGACTTCGAGAACAAGGACACGCTGTCCACCACCAAGCTTAACCAGTCGGTAATCGAAAGCTTCATCCAGCAGAGCCAGTATTTCTTCTACGACGGCGACATCACAGAGCCGTCTAGCGCAGAGGGCACACCTCCTCCGCATGGCCACGGCATGGTGGAGTCCCTGCTGGCCCTGCAGCTCCCTCCCCCATTGCAGCCGCAGCAGATCCAGCACCCGCTGCCCTCCGAGCCCCTCATATAATACACGTACAGATACACCCAATGACCATTGTCATCTCAGCTGACTGCGTCACGCACTTGCGTGGGAGCCACTTTAAAAAAAATGGGAAAAGGAAAAACGTCAAAGGCCGTTTTTGTACCAGGAGGACAGACTGACGTGACCGTATTCGCAGATATGCATTTCTTTTGGGTTTTTTTTTTTCCCCTTTTTTCTCTTTTATTTTTAAATCTTGTCCAGATTTCAAATGGTGACTGAAAAAAAAAGTGACAATTCAATGTTTGTTAATGAGATGTGGTTAACTGGCCTGCTGTGGCAAGCATGCAGATTTGACTGCAAATATACGGAAGATATATTTATACTGCAGTTTTTTTGTTTGTTTGTAAACACAACTGAACTGTCAATCATTCGCTGAAATGTACACTACATGCACGATCTATTTTAATGGATTTACCTTTACGTGCCATTTTGTCTCCCCCCCCCTCGTTATTTTGCAATGGACACTTTCTTTTTTAGAAATTTTATTTCCAAAAGAAAATGGAAATGAATGTGGTGATGGTATCCCAAGGCCATGTGACAGTTGGCATGACACCTTGTGACAAGTTAAAACGGTACCACTTTATTGTAAAGCAGTGTTCATGAGGCTACATGACATCTACATAAGACCTACATGACATCTGATAAACCTACATAAACATTTACAAACACTTACTCTATTTGCTATAAAGGTTGCATTTGCCAGCTGTGACGTCAAGTTGACAATATCTATGTCAGGTGACATTAGGCTGTGTTATGACTAGGGTTGGGTGGTATAATAGTTATAAGGTGTTTAAAAATAATGCTGCTGTTTAAAAATTATGATGCGTCAAATTTCTGAACGGCCAAATAAACACATTGCGCCTATTTATATTTTAGAGAGGCTTACTGATTGGTGGTGTGGGAGCTCACCAATAGCTGGTGCTGACAGAAAGGGGAAAATATAGAGCCAGAAAAGCCTCAGAAAAACTAAGCATGATAGCATGACATTTGAATTTAGCTTTCACTCTTATACCAGTCCCTCGAATTTGTGCTCTCAGATATCATCTAAATAGGTGGTATTTTAGCACCAGTTAGCTTGAACTAGGCCTGTGCTGTGGTGTAATTCATGTCTGGCCTGCTAACTAAGTGATCATTAGCTTAGCCAAGATGCTTCAGTCTAAACACCACAGAACAGGTTCGATTTCGGCTTTATTTCATTCCAAAACCAGTTGTTCAACTTTTGCTCTATCAGACATTCATTTTTATCAACTGCATCTTCTGCAGAGCATCAGTTAGTAATAATCAGACCTGTACTGTAGTGTGTGGCACTGTTCGGTCTGTAAGCTAATGCTAAGTTGTCCGATTAAGCTACAGATGCAAACGTCACAGAACAGATTTATTTCCACCTTTCTGTCCCTTCAGCACCAGTTGCTCGACTTTACTGCCACAGATTGACTCATCTGAACTTGTGTCTGTGCTTGATTAGCCAGAATCAAACGTGCTGTGGAGAGCAGAGCTGCAGTCATGCTAACTAAGACAATGCTAACCTGCTCCTCTCTCCTAAATAGCAGCACTATTTGTAATTTAGCAATAGTTAGATAGATGGTTTGACATTTAGTGAATGATGGCTTGAAAAATCATGCACTGTGTTCACTTTGAAGTTTGAAGATATGAAACAAGTGGATATGCACTAACCCTAGTTATGGTACTTTTTGGGATGAAATGACTTTGTAGCTCAGTGTATTTCACAGCGACATAATGATGCTAATAAGACACAGCTTGCCAAATTAGGTTGGTTTAACAAAAAAAATTCTGTGGCCCTTAGAGTGAGTTTAATCTTTAACATCTAGAAGATTTTAGATGTCACATCTTCAGCATTATGTCACTGTAATATACAAAGCTCCAAGGTCAAATGTTATAAGGTACTGAGCCATTTCACCCAGAAAAAAGTCAATGTCAGAAAATAATCACTTGATGTATATGTTGAAAAAAGCCTTTATAAATGTTTTCATAGTTTTATGTCAGTTATTAGCTTATGTATGTACCGTAACCTCATGAACACTGTCCTGCAGTAAAGTGTTACCATTGAAAAAAGACACACAGGTGCATATTAGCCTGGGAGGGACCCCAGCAGCGAGAAGCCTGCAGCCCCTCACAGTTGGAAAGCCACAGAAGGGAAATACCCCACTGGAACTCTATGGCACATCTCAGAAACCCAGGCTTTTTTTGACTTTGGCTTGGCTAACTTAACCCTGTTGCAGTCCTTTTTTTGATTTTCGTTTTCTTTTTCCTCTCTGTCTCTTGAAAAAATACCTTGCACACCAACAGCAGGCATTGAAATAGGTGTTTATTTGTTTCATGAACTAAATTTGCATGTCATTTGCCACTTGTAATAACTGAAAGATAGAAAGACAAAAGGAAAAAAACAAGCTTAACTGTTTTTATGCAAGCCTTTTTTAAAAAAAAAAATCTAACTTGTTTGAGGGAACATTAAATTGGGGTAAAATTATATTTGCTCATTTTACCATGCCATAGATTCATTTTTAATATCATATTTTGATTTAGTTTCCCTGAATAGAGGAAAATATATAAATATAAATAAATATAGATAAATATATATAAATAGACTATATATGTCAGCACAGTTTGCTGACAAATCAAGGGGTACTGGAGCTCTGTATAATCTTGTAAAACTTGTAATCAGATTTCTTTGTGGTATGCTGTACTAAAATTTGGGGTTAGATTAATTGACTGTTCTTAATTCCCTATTTTTGTTTTTCTTAGATGGTACTGAATTTTGTTCCGCTGTAACAGATGCTGCTTAGAAAGCTTACAGTCTTTGTATGGAAACTAGCTTGACACAGGGATGTGTAGAATCTGTGAGATTGACAGGGGAAGCTTGTTTGTGAAAGGATGGTTGCAGAAACGATAGGGTTTACTTCTCAAAAGCTTTGTAAGACAAGATTTATATCTCAGTCAAATCACTATAACAAGAGGAAAGGGCTCAAATAGGTTTGGGGGAAGCGCACAGCTGCTAGGATCCCATTTGTGTAGTTAGAAAGAGCAACATTTGTTCATATGACCTGCCTCATTCAAAACTGATGTACAAACTGAAAAAAAATTTAACATCATCTGCTATGTATTATAGTAAATAAATGATTTTGACAAATGAAGTTGGGCTCATTTTTTTGTGCTACTATGTTTGCCCTTGTTATTATTGCTGTTTTATACCGAATACTTCACTTTCCTGAGTTGGAAATGATCACTTGGCTTTGTAAGAATTTTTATGCTAAGCATGTTAAAATGTAAGGCTTGTGGACGTCTTCTGAAGTGTTAGCTCTGTGTCATCTGAGAGCAGCTCATTCTGAAACTGAAAGCTGTCTGTGGACAACTTAGTAAAGTGTGCCATCATCTGGACATTGTGAGTACTGCACAGGCAGTCTATGATCTACATTACAGTCTGTGTTTATTCTCACAACTGTTTCTTGTTTTTAGCAGTCTGAGCAGTTGCTTAGCACTTTTTCACAGTAGCCATGAAATGCCATTTCTGCCAGTTTTGAATTGAACTTTTTTTTATAGCTAATTTTTCTTCAATGATATTGACACAATATGTGATTTATAGAACTTCTTCTACTTATAGAACGTCTTTTTGAGCCAGCAATTCAATATTTATAAATGTGTTTTTACTATTTTTCAATGGGGACTCGAACTGAAGAAGGCTTCAGTTGTCAGTTTTATCTTATCATGGATGTCTTTGTGGAGAGAGATCAACTGATTTCTCACCACTTCCCTTTCGCCCCTCATTGCTCACTAGCAGCTCAACACAGAGTAATAACACTTAGTCGATTTCCATTCCACAAGCAGAATGGCTACTAGGCGGCCTGCAAAAAGTGGTTAGGGCCCCTGAGCCACCACAACGCCCACAAGTGTTTACTTTTTAACCCCTTAAACTGCAAGGCTTGTAGGCCTCACTCTCACACAAGTTCCACAAAGCATTAGAGTGATGCTGTAGAAGAGTCATGTTTGAAAAAGAGAATGTTTAAAAGGTTTATAGAACATTTACATAATGTACAGGTTCTATATCAATTTAAGCATTCTTTCTAGAAACTTCACGATATGTGGAGGTATTCAAAGTTTAAAAGGGTTCTTCACATTCACACATCTCACATCACTGAAAGTACTTTAGAGATGTGTGAGTGTACAGAACCCTTTTAAAGTTTGAGATGGCCCCCAAGAATGGATGTCGCTTACGGCCCCAAAATGTTCAGAAACAGGCACTGAAATATGCATAAGTATTCCACTCCTTCACACTAATGAAGACTAGCTTTGCATAAATGTATATTAGCCTCAGTTTCTAGGTGGCAGTGTTGTTCCATAGACAAATACTGTGTCTGCCATTGAATCAACCGTTTTCCAAAGAGCCTTTAAGTCACTACAATCAAGATAAGATATAGCAAGACTGCAGCACCTGGGTTCTCTTGAAGAACAGCAGTTTTGAGCTCCCTCATTTCCTATCAGCAAGCTGCACCTTTCACGATATTAGCAGATCATCAGCATTAGGCTACTGCATTATAAGCTGTGAATTTGATAAGTCTGCCACAAGAAAATGTCATTTTAGCAGATTTCAGCCAGCCTGACTTTGCTCTCTCCTCTAATCCTCACGAGTTCCAGTCCCTGCTGAGGAGAAGCCTTCCAATTACATGGTTCTGTCACTGTCACACTTCAGTATGCGGATGGGTCTATGGGACATAAGCAGTCTTAGACTTAATGCCAACCACTACAAAATGCTTTGATGGTAGTCTTGTCTTGCTTAAAGTACAGCGTTGACTTTGACATCATTTTTTGAAAAATGTCAGTTACTAGCCACTACTGTTACTTCCTTAATTGATTTGTTGACCTCAAAAAGGTGTCCTTGATATCTTCTTTCTTAGTTATATTTTGTGAGACATGCTCTCTTAAACAGGGTGTAGATGGTGTCATGCAGCCTCCCCTACTTAATACTTAAGCCAACTGGATGTAAGATGGGTGCTTTAACTCAATCAAACTGAATCTGTTCTGCCTTAAGGGTTTTTTAATCTATGGCATTTGTAGCTTCAAAACTCAAATTGCTAATTTTAGTTTCTGCCCCAACATTTTGGGTTTATATTTTTGTAATTTCTTCTTAAATGACTTATTTTGATTTCCTTTTGAATTGATTTTGCACCTTCTAGTTCCAGGATCAAATGATCCATGGAAAGACCACCCATTCTTCCGTTAGATGATATAATAGAGATCAGAATTCATATACTGGCATTCAAAAAGAACTGCTCACATGGACATATGTTGTACACTGATGTTTAGCAGCTGTGTTTATCCTGTCTGTTCACTTGAAGGAGGAAAACAACAACAAATGATGGATATTCCAGCAGGACATTGCAAGATGTCACATAGTTCATTAATGGAGAATTCCACTGATTTTCCAAAATATGTGTGTAATTCAATCTATTAGACTGGCTTGATTTGAGAGGTTCAATGTAGATAAACTTACCAACACTAATTTCGTTACAGTGTCTTCTAGGTTTTCTTATACCTGCCCATACATCTTTGTCATGAAATGGATCGAAAAAAATACATTTTAGGCCAAAATCTGATCTCAACACTACTGTTAAGCAATGTCAGAGGTTCTAGGCAATGCATTTGCAAATATTTCATGCAATAACTTTCAGTGAAGGCATTAAACTCTCCAGATGTCTGGTTCCTATCACCAACACAGTGAACAATTCTGACTTGGTGCCCAAACCATTTGGCTTTGACAAAAAGCCAAACAGTATACACATTAGGAGAGTAGACAGGCTTCAAATTGAGGTTTTAAAAATGTGAGTGGGTGGAGGACTTTGGCCTGCTGGTCACAGTTTGGGGAGTCCCAGTCTAGAATAAAGCATTTCACACCAAACTGCTCTGAATAGTTTTGTTGATATCTTAACCATTTAATTTATGCAGAAATTTGGAAAAGTTAGTGGAATTCCCCTGTAAATTAAATTAGCCCTTTAAAACTCGGTCTTGTTCGGCTGTGTTGAGAGATGTGTGGTAAGCAGTTTGTTTAGGAAAGTACCACAAAACCGAGTGAGGTTGTTTTCAAGACTGGAGGAGCTACAATATGCTAATTAACACTACCCTGTCAAAAAGAACGGCTTGTTTTTTGTCACGATCACTGACACACTAAACAATGAAGGAAAAATAGTAAACACATACAACAGTTCAGTGTTTGGCAGCATTTTTTAGTAGGTTACTCTGGTTTTAGATTTTCTTTAGATGTTTTAGTCCAGGGGTCGGCAACCCAAATGTTAAGAAGAGCCATTTTGTCCCATAGGCTAAAAAATATAAAATAATGAAAACGCAGACTTACTCTGCTCTGCTTTAAGCTTTGGCCCAGCTGTAGCCGCTTTTCTCGCATCTCCCCAGGAAACTCTTCATCAAAAGTAGAACAGTTGCTCGTAAAATGCCTCTCAACGGTCGACTTTTTACGAGGCTGAAGTCGCTTCTCATTCTCCAGCTTCTTGTTCGAATTTTCTCGTTCCACCTTAAATGGTTACACCTTAGAATGTAACTGCTGCGCCATTTAAGGTGGAACGAGAAAATTCGAACGAGAAGCGACTTCAGCCTCGCGACCTTTTAGTGTTTGACAGTTTCTCGTTGCAGATTAAACGTGTCCGAAAACCACCCGTAGTACTCATTAATGCAAATAAGTTCATTCGTTTCCAAATATCGCTGTTTGTCTTTATTATTTTTCTTAGGTACTACTTGGGCCAGATTGTTGTCTGCGTTGCTGCACCCAGCCGTCTTCGCGCCAACCTTTAGGGTTAAAGGTCGGTGAATTAGCAGTTGTAGACTACATTAACTCCAGCATTTAAGACCATTTATTATTAAAACTGTTTGAACGATCAGTTGCTTTGGGTTACTGCAAAGCAGAATAATTTTATTTTTACCTAAAAAATCTAACTGTAGTAGTGAAAGAGCTGCTGCCGACCTGTTAGTCCTCTAATTCATTGTTGTGGCTTTGAATAGGAAACACATTAGATACTGTCGCTGCTGTCCAAAGAAAAATATGTATTTCCAAAATAGTAACTTTACAAGATAAAGCAAAGCATTTTTTATGTAGATTTTTTAGATTTTGGAGCATTTCTGTTGGTCCATTCATCATGAAATGCCAACACAATGTAAAAGACAGCTTGTTTTTTTGTTTTTTTTTGACAGCAATGTTGCATCATATGTGCATGTGAGCAATACTTTGTCAGTGTATTTTATCCAGTAGCTGAATATCAACCATTTCCCCCTTGTAACCAGGAAACCATAACACCTCCACCAGCATCCACTGCCATGAAAATTCCTCCAGCGCCTGGCTTAGACAAATTAGGCCTGTCACAGCTTCAAGAAAGGAGTTCTAAGTCTATCTTTTTTAAGTGATTGCTTTGACTAAGTGAAAGACATCC